CGCGGCTCCGGGGCCGAAGGGGTCGTCACCGGGTCCGCGCCCAGCCGACCGCGCCGGCCGATTGACATAAATCGTGCGCTGTATCGCGATCGCCGCTTGTTTTGATCGTTTTGGCGCGCGCCGTCCGCTGCCGTGCGTTTTTATTATCGTTTTGTTTCTTTCGTTTTGCCATATCGCGCCGCGCTGTTATCGCGCGTCGCTTCCTGTGTCGTCCATCACCACGCGTACCCAGGACGGCGCCGCCCGCCGAGGGACAGTCGTCGCCAAAGGATATACTCACTGCGCTCCGCGGCCCCGGCGCTGGACGACAGCCCCTGCAGGTACGTGAGGCCGCCACCGGGACTGGGCACGTCCCCGTCAAACAGCAGCGCGCGTGCTGCGCACACCACGCCCGCCCGTCCTCCCTCAACGAGTGTCTCATGGTGCGAGTCGCCGGTCGAGGACCATGTGATGCATGAGCCACCGGGGCAGACTCAATAAATTTTGGCGCGAAAAAATAAAACGAGAAGGTGTTGCTCGGTGTCGCTCGAGGGCGCTTCGGGCACGATCCGATGACAGCGGCAGGATCGCATCGGCCCGCCCAGCAGCAGCCCGCCGCGCCCGGGGGCGTTTGTCTTCCACCCGTCGTCGCACAGCCCCACCCGGGGCGGCCCGGCCCGCGCGCTCCTCCCCGCCGACACACACGCCCGTGCTGTGCTGTGGCCCCGGGGCCGACGCCGCGCGCGCCCGCGCGTGCGCTCCGCGGGGGAAAGCCAACTGGGACGGGCGTCCCCCGAGGCGCGTCGGCACGGCAGGTCGTCTGAACGTGATGACAAGCCGACCATGTCGCGACGCATGGTTACATTGACATCATAACGCACTACGACTCATAGAGCGCCCGACTCGGCCACCGCCGCCGCCTCCGCGCGCGGCGAGAGCTCTGCTCTACGGCGAGCAGGTGCAGCCGAGCCGTCGGCATCGGCCGGATTTGCTTCCGGTGCCAGCCCCTCAAAGCGACGCCGCCGCCGGGGTCCACCGGGTGTCCGGGGCCCGCACGGGGCACGGGGCCCCCCGAGCACGATGCTCCCCATCATCGGCCGTCCCGCCATTCAGAGCAGCGGGATAAAACAACAAACAGTCCTTTTTTGGCGCGAAAGTCGAGAGAGCGAAATGCGAGAGGACACTGGCGGGATAGCGGTGCACGGGCGGCGGGGCCGCATCGGGATCCCGGTTTTATTTTTTTGTTGCCGCCGCCGGTCGGAACCTGCGCCGCTGCGCCGTCTTTCCATTGAAAGAGACGGACCTCCGGCCGGACCCGCCCACCATTCGTCACATGTGTTTCCTGTCCGTCCGTCCGTCTCACTCACACACACGCCCACTCCGCACACACACGCACGCACAATTGTCTTACTGCATAATGGGCAGTACGGTACATGGGGCGGCTGCCGAAGAGAAAAGGGCCGCAATAGTCAAGGACGGCACGGCAAGCGGAGAAGTTTCGGGGCCGATGCATATTGTTGGGAATGAATGAGCAGCTGCTGCTCAGCTGCCCATTGGCTCGAATAACTGTACATACAGTCACATCGCACGCCGTGATTTGTAAAAAACAAACCGGTCGTGACTTGATATAAATGTAAGTAGTCATGGTGGGTGATCTGATACCGCCCTATTGTTCTATACTGTGCCTGATTCTGGCTTCACAACGAGTTGCATACTCGTACAGGGTCATATGGCGCACCGCTCCCACGCCCCCGGTACTGTATAACAAGAAGAAGAGGACAGCGCAGATCACCCACCCTTGTTTGTGATGGGGGAAAACGTTCGCTATCATGAAAATAATATGTACGGAATTACATATTTGCAGACACAAGCATGTGCATGTACTCTTTAATAATGCGGCATAACATCGTTTGCGAGTGACATGTCGATGGGCATCGCCATTAGCGGGCCGACGGGCGCCAAACAGTTTCGAGCGCCCAGAGCGAGTCCACCACTTGCCGATGTGCATACGAAATAATACCAACAGCACCCCCCCCCCACCCCACCCCCAGGAGGCCTATAGCTGCCCGAACTGTGCTATGCTAAATAAAGTAGGCAAATTTCCCACGCAATACACAGGTGTAAAAAGTGGACGGCATTTACACCTGCTCCACCTGTTCTGAGGGGTGGCCAAGAAGGCAGGCGCTAGACTAGATGCAACCGCAACCCACTATAAGCACCTGCTGGGAATGCGTGTTAAATTTGCCTTCTTTCTTTGAAAACATTGAGCACCAACGCCAAACACTGCATGCACGATTTTCCTGGTGTTAATTTTATCTTGACTCTTGAGGATATTATAGGTATCTGCTGAATAATGCCGTCAACGGCTTTGCGTCGCGATAGAAATACACTATGTGCGCAAATGCAGGTAATACATACGAAACGCCGATAATCACCATGACAAATTTCCTGGGGATGGGTGGGTTGGGACAGTAATTGATAAATACGCGCGTACTGCTTGGACTGCTTGTCATTCTTCTTCACCGCTTGAACTCGCCCGCCCGTCTGTTGCAGGTCGACATGAGCGGCGCGCGCGCCAGGCGCCGCGGCTCGCCTCCACCCTGAGCGAGGCCATGGCCATGAGGGAGGTGGTCGTGTAGGCACCACGCCCCACAGCTGCACCCAACGGTAAGAGCACTGCAGGAGAAGCAAACAAGTCACTAGACAATGTTACAATTGGAAACTTTCTTCTTACTGAAATATTGCACGCCACGTCATCACTATCAGCAACGCTCCTTTTGCGAATAAAGCCTATTGTTTTGGTTTTGGCATCCAAGTGAATTTTCTTTAGAAAAATGTTCATTATTTGGCAGCATTCCCGAACTTGAGTTTCACAATTAGGTGGCAGAAAAACAACCCTTGCAGCCTGTTTCGATGCGCTGCAGTAGCTTTCGGAACAACTGATATGTAACGATTAGATGGCAAAAAATTGGGAATTGTTTCTTTAAAATTTCATCCCATGTTGCAGTTGTGATAAGGAGAGTTGGGAACATCACTTTGAAATGTTTGAATAAGGATATGTTGCAAAAATGATTTAAATTTTTGCGATAGATGCGGACTTTAAGCGTTACTGAATGAAATAACACACCTGGGAAGTTTGAAAAATATTGTTGGCCCAGCGTTACAATCCGGTCTGTGTTCGCCCTGTTCGCAGACGGCAGCAGCGATGGCGGCGGCCATCAGCAGCGACCTGTCGTGGAGCGCCACGGCCGTCAAGTCGGAGCACTCCTCGTACGGCAGCCGCAAGTCGGCGGGCGCGGCCACGGCGACCACAAACGTGGACGCGCTGCACCTGTCGAGCAGCGGCAGCGGCGCGAGCACCGGCACGGCGGCCACCGTGCCGGGCACGGCGTCCTCCCCGGAGGGCACCAGCTCGCTGCTCAACGACGCCTACACCAAGATGACGTCCGACATCCTGGCCGAGCGCACCCTGGGCGACTTCGTGTCCGAGCACCCCGGCGAGCTGGTGCGGACGGGCTCGCCGCACTTCGTGTGCACCGTGCTGCCGACGCACTGGCGCTCCAACAAGACCCTCCCCGTCGCCTTCAAAGTGCTCGCCCTGGGGGACGTGCTCGACGGCACCGTGGTCACGGTGCGCGCCGGCAACGACGAGAACTACTGCGCCGAGCTGCGCAACTGCACGTCCGTCATGAAGAACCAGGTGGCCAAGTTCAACGACCTGAGGTTCGTCGGGCGCAGCGGCAGGGGTGAGTGGACACCACAGGCCGAGGCTAGTGCCGAGGCCACATTGTCGCCCCGGAATGCAGCCTCGAGGCTCCATCATAGGGCGCGTTCATTACTCGCACGGAGGTCGCCCCGGGGCGTAGCGGGCGCAGCGGGCGGAGGGGCGAGGAGCCAGTCTCTGTTCACCGAATCCAGAAAACAATAGGGAGCCGGGCAAGGGTCGCGCGTGGTCCGGCGGGGCCGGCGGGGCCGGCGGGGCGGCCCGGGCCGGGGCAGGGGGAGGAGGGAGCCGGCCAGACGGGCAAAATTTGCATGACCAGATAATTCGTCGCTGAGCGCGGAGCAGAGCGGGGCCAGCGAGGGTCGAAAGGGTCGATTCCGGTATCCAGAGGGGTCGGCACGGCGCGTACAGTCGGAGCGGCCAGCGGCGGGGCGGGGCGGCGTCATCACAGTGCTATCGGGGCGTTCATCACGTCCCACGTGACATGGCCATTATAGGCTCCGACGTGCCGTCCCGGGAGGAGGGGTTGGTGGAGTAGCGGGGTGTGGAGCTGGGCGCGGGAAAGTTTTCACAAACCGATAATGACGATACGGGGATGATGATGATGACGCGTGCAGTATGATGTACCGGCCAGACCAGACCAGGCTGCCTGTCGTGTAGAGGGGCATCAAACGTTCAGGTGCGGGCCCCTTCCAACGACGCGTGGGCGGCGCCCCGGCCGGGCGCTCCTGCTCGGAGTGTACAGCTAATACGCTGCTCGAGCTGAGGGTCATGCGCCACTCCCCGCCACACCCCGCCACGCCGCGCCACGCACCGCCACGCTCGAGCGTGCCGCATGCATGTTTCGCAGACATCGATTTGTCGGTGCATGTGCAATCGTCGGGGGGCGAACGAGCAGGCGGGAGGCTTTTGGGGCAGGAGGGCGTGACGGGGAGTGGCGGGGCGGGGGAGTAAAGCCCTCGAAAGCCCCCACGATGATGAGCCCCTCCCCACCCACAGCCCACAGGCAGAGTACATATGCGGGATACAGTCGGTCTTTCAAACACACACAGAAATTAACCAGACTGGCGCGCGAGCGGCAAAGCGGCCCGATAAACATAAATTCTCATCACGTCGGTGAGGCAGAATC